CTTCAAAATAATATTCTTCAGAATTCTGACTTCTACAACGTTGAAGAAGTTCTTGAGGGTCTTACTATCCCAGAAGCATCTATGAAATTTTATAAAAGCGCTGCTGATAATGAACATCCTGAAGCACAATTAAGATATGGTTTTGGCCTCTATAATGGGCAAGGCGTCCATGAGGACAAACAAATGGCAATGGTGTACTTTGAAAAATCAGCCAATAATGGTAACGTTGTTTCTATGTATAATTTAGGTGCTCTTCTTTATATAAATGGGAGAGATAAAGAGAAAGGAAAAGGTTTACTAATTAAAGCGGCTAAACTTGGGTATCAAAGTGCTATTAATTTCTGTAGTAAGCACAAAATTAACTATATGAAATAAGTTTATTCGTAGTATCTTATTTCTAAAATTTCTAAGAAATATGTAGAGATTATTTTATTTTAACTGTAAAAATTTTATTGTAATATTTATTGTCGTTTTAGGGGCAAGGCAAATTATTATCTATAGTTGTAGGTTGTAAGTAAAGTCATATAAACTAATAAAATTTTTATCTATTAAGGTTTGTAAAACTTACAAGTACAGTACATAAGTACGTGCGTACGTACGTATGTATGTATGTATAGACATAGTAAATGTAGCAACCTGAAAATGTGTACTAGGTTAATGCTCAAATGATCTTGTGATAGTCTGAAAATCAAACCAAACGATCATAAAAAACGATAATAGAATTAATAATTGTAAAATACAACAATTTCAACCGAACAACAAAGCCCCCATATTTGCAATTTTTGTGTAAAAATTGATTAGTACAGGCGTGAAACGTAAAGGCAAAATTATAAGTGTCTTTATTTCAAATAAATTTATTATGAACTACAAGTAATGATATGAATTTCAGATTTTAAATGGGTATTAACCGGATAATTTAAGAATGACAAACTAAATAAAATGTCAATTGAAATAGATTTACCCAAATAATTCTATACTAAAATTAAATTAAATTAAATTAGCGTAAAAATTTTTATACAGTAGTCATATCTCATTCCATGGAGCTTCTAATCATTTGTTTCTATGATCTATTCCATAATATTATAACATTTAGCAGCGAGTACATTCTTAAAGTTGATATTATCTATGGTTTGGTATTCCTGTATTGGAAACAACTGACCATACATTTGGGATTACCATTAAATGACTTTACTATTGGGCATTTACGATTAATATTTAAAAGTAAAGAACAGCAGGGTCCAAGAGATTCCGAAGAACTTGAATAAAGGGGGCTTGCGAATATATAGTTTTCATTGTCAGGTAGGTGCCAACTATTTCCAGTGAATATGCTATTATTATTGTGCTGTCTTAATAGATTCGTGAAACTCCAACTTTCTCTCCAATTATGATTATCCATACTAACAATAAAAGGATGCGATTTGTTAGTATCGGATGTACCAAGAACAATAGCGCAGTTAATTTTAAAAATCAATGGGGTCAAGTTGGGACCATCTGAAAGATCGTGTTGGTTACAGCATATTTTGACTTTAATATTGTCGGATTGACAAAAATGATGACTAATAACTATATTTGACATTCCAAATTCGTATCCAGGATTTTCTTCACAATCTAAAACACAAGTGCTTATCCAACAGTAATCTTTATAAATTGGTTTTGGGAGTTTTATTTCTGTATCTGTACCATCTTTTGTCCAAATATGTTTAATATTTTCAATGCAAGAAGTTTTGGAAAATTCATCAGTTGGGAACTTATCATTATAACCAATAATTATCCATGGTACCGAAAGATTGATCGATGATGAATCTTCAATGACCATACCAAGATGATGATGAATTATGAGGTATGGACTTTCTGGATTTTGGTAATCAACGCGAATTGCAAACACATTATTATCTAAATGCTTGCGATTTGTATTATTTATTATAGAAACGAATATTTTATGGTTTTTAAATGTTATAATGTTTGATGGCTTAGGAACAGGATAAATTGATTCTGGCATTTTAATGTTTAGGATATCTGAATGAAGTACTTTCATACCAATAACATTTTTTATTCTTGATTTTAATCCTTCTGGCAACAATTCATAGAGTGATAATTTATCGTCATGTCCAATAATTACCCAACTTTCATAAGAACTTAGAGACTCCAACCATTCACCTTCATCATTACACTTTGTAATATCTCCACCAACTGCTTTATATTTATTGGTACTTGTAGAACTCGCAAGTCGAGCGCTTTGAGATTTTCCTCCAAGTTTAATTTCTTGTGCCCTGTTCAATTATAATGACAACTTTTTTGAAAAAGCGTAATAATATATTGCAATTTTTTTGTTATTACAAAATTATACTCACCAAAAAAAGCCAAATTCTTCACCGACTTTATTCAGTGCATCCTTTTTATTTGCATCACTCTGACCTTCATCTAATGCGTCTGTAATAGCTTTAACATACTCATTTGTTACTTCTAAGTCTTTACGTGATAATCGAATCGATCCCTTCTCATAATATATAATATCATAGATTTTCAAATTAACGGATGATTTTAAAGGAGGAACTATGTCTTGATGATCAAAACTTCTTTCCCAAAATTTATTAAAATCTTCGTTGGTTTTTTCATGTATACGTTTAAGATTGTCATTAACAGTTACGTTCATAATGTGTGAATTTTTTATACTGAATGCCGATTTACTCGCTATCACTATGCTACCATCACTGCTTTTCTTTCTACGTCCCTTATTTAAACTAAGCCTGCGCGAAAGTTTAATAAAGTTTGGTTTTGTTGAATTTTTTTCTATATATACTGAATAAAAATCATCCTCAGGAATCAAAATATCTTCAAGTTTAAAATCGTCCTCACATTCTAATTGTATTTTATCTTTTGATTTATTACAAAATTGGGAGTCTTGCTTGCTCATTAAAACGTCGCCATTTGTAGATAAACATCGCCGTACTTCTCTTAAAGACGCCGACTTATTCAAGTCACTTAATATATATTTTGTTGTTTCATTATTAGTGGTTATCACTACCTTTATACGATTCTGATCTTTTGGAGTAGGGTATTGAACAATTGGTCTAAGAAGTTCGCGAAGATCAAATGTATCCATAATATTTTTAATTATCTTTTAATATTTATATTAGAAATAAAAGTTTTTGAAGTGTTTATACGTAGCTCAAATTATTAGTAAATATTATTAAGTCACATGGGCGGTCTCCGTCTACTCCGGACCCAAATATGAATCGTAGTACGGTTTGTACACATGATTTGTACGTAGTAACAATGTGATCAATTTACGTAACATATGATTCCCGTAAATATCATCATAATGAAGTGAACAGGAATAGGATATCGATTTGAATTTATATAAGGATGTTAAAAATCCTGTTCGGCCTGTTCCGTAGAGGTCCGGATAATTTTCTCGTAATTGTTACCAGTGACGGTAAATGACCTGAAATGACCCAAATGACCCAAATGACAAATGGCGAGTCATTGGGTCATTTCGAGACCCAAATGACTTGGAAGGTCATTTAACATATGTTAATTTATATTCTATTGCCCTTTAGCCAATCAGAATTTGCCGCCAAACAAATTAAAATATAATCGATAATCGTAGCTATATATTAAAGTCAAAAATTTTACTAAGTCAATTAATATTTA